ACAGACAGAAAGGAGTCCCTGGTTTTGGAGGGGAGCAGCTGGGGGGATGCTTGGAAGGGGTTGTTGCCCCTTCTCGGGACTTCTTCATGGGCAGCGGGCACGGGGGGCCGATGCTGGGCTGGGGGGGCTTTTCCCTTCCCGCTGTACTCCCCCCCCCAGCTTGGGCAGGGTAACCTGCAAGGCGCTCTCCCACCAGTTCCTGCAAGACACATCTGCTGCCTGAAGCCTGTGGCATCTTGGCTACTACCTTTTATTTTTTTTTTTGTCCTTGCCTCTGGTGTGGTGACAAACCCCAGGGACCTCCGGAGGTCAGGGAAATTCACTGCGTGGGGATGGTGGAGAACATGGGCTCAGCCACGTGCTCCGGGCAGGCTGGAAGAGCTTGTCCCTTTCTGGTTATGCCATATGGATGTGGCGGGGACTGAGCTCACCTCGGAGAAGCAGCAGCTCTGAGGAGCACGGAGAAGTGGGTGACAGTCCCCTGACCCTGTGCAGAGCACCCTTTGTCCTGGTCACTGGCAGCAGGGTGAGGGGGAGCCAGGAGTCAATGGGAAAGGGCCAAAGACAGACCAGAGCTTGTTAATTTTGCACCTTCTCGGGGAGGGAGAGCCCAGGGGCTGGGGACATGCCTGGTGCTGTGGTCTGGGCAGCTCCTGGCTCTCACAGGGCTGGGGACACATGGCCAGGACAGCCTGTCCCTTCAGCCACTGTGCGGCTGGGGAGAGGACATCGCCGTGGGGGGACAGGAGTGCTGTGCAGTGCGGTCACTCACCAGCAAGAGGGCTGTGGCCGGCAGGAGTGTGGTGCCCCAGGAGCTGGTCACCTCACCCAGATCATGGCCACAGGGCTGCCCCCGTGGGAGGTGACCTAGGCAGGGGGACAGGAGGTGGGACCCAGCCAGGGCGCTGGGTGCTTGGTCAGCTCCTCTGGGCACCCTCCCTGCACTGGTGGCCACTGTCCCTGTCTGCTTCAAGGTGCCACCTTGATCCCCCTGGTCTTGCTGTCATGGGCATCATGCACCTCTGGGGGACAGGGCAGGAGAAGCCACCTTGCAGGGCTCACAGGCAGGCTGGCACCGCCGGTGGGTGGCTCTGGACAATGACCAGGCTGCATGTGCCCAAAAGGTGATGTCTCAGCTGCTGTTTGCCTCTCTCCTTCATCCGTGCCCACAGTGCCCTCTCCTCTGGCAGCCAGTTGCAGGCAATAACCAGCTGGATTTCTCCCAGCAGCAGCAGAGGCAGCCAGTGCTGGGACAGCCAGGCTGATGGGGACACAGCACGTCCTGCAGCCTGGCACAGGTGGTGTGAGCTGGACCCTGGAGGAGCAGACGCTGCCCGCCGCCACTCCCAGCCTGACCTCCTTCATGTCCCCTGCCAGCAGGGACAAAGCCCTGGGGGCCCCAGAGGTCAGTGAGGGGCACAGGGGGACGCGGTGTCGCTGGGATGGGGGGAAGGGGCTGTGCTTGATGGAGATGATCTGGTGGGGCAGGGAGGGCTAGTGGGGGAGGGAGTCATGTAATGATGCTCGTAGAAGGGTGGGTGACAAGGGGCACCCCTCCCTGAGGGGGTCTGGGTGCCTGGTGGCCCAGAGTCT